GCGATTGCAAGCATTAGCACTATGCTATAAGTGACTTCCCTTCTTCGAGATTTTGGGGAAATCAACAATAAGGGTGGCGGTGCTAGTAGGTGGAATTTGTTACCTTTGGATAGAGCCAAGGGAGCTGTTTCCCCTTTCTTTCCAGTCTGTAGTGCTGAAGTTTAGAAGCTAGACTACAGTGAGTTTTCAAGGTTGTAGCTTCATACTTAAAATACAGATGTGAAAGTACTGTTGAAGTTCTCGTATAACTCCTGGCAAGAATGCAAATATATGCATTTCCCAAACTGTCAAACTTTCTTTTAAATTAGATGTGATCATACCACTACCTTAGAATACCAAGGAACTGAGGAAGAGTCAGCAGTAACAAACTAATTTAGCTTAGGATGTGATGATGTGCAACTCACTTGGCTCTCTCCTTTATCTGTTTTGAGATAGAACGGTTCTGTTCTGATACAGTGGACTATGTTCCCACATCTGAAAATCACCAAGAAAGGAAAAACACCTGTAATGTACTGTAGCACTAACTCTCACAGATGCTACTTAAGAGAAAGGAATAACTTCAAGTGTCTCCCATAATTCACACAGTGTATCAAAGAACCTGGAATAAGATGGCTAGACAAAATAGATCTATGGGATTCACAGTGCTGAAAAGTGGTTTTGTTGGGATTATTTAAGAGGCTCTCTTCCGTTTATTACTTCAAAGCAGAACAGTGGTTGTAGCTGAGGTTTGCTTGCCTGTTGATCTTATAGCCTCGTCACCTTGCATACTACTGCATGTGTCTAAATTACATGGAGTTTCAGAAAGACTACACCAGGGATTGTTTGTCTCAATGACAGCATCGTGTAGACTGTACAGAATTTGACTTCTTGACATTTTTATCTGAGATTGAGTCTTGGCCACTCAAGGAATGAGCTTGCGATTCTTCTGGCATTTTTCCACTGATGTTTATTAACTGGAGACTGGAATACCTACTGCATGGTGACACATCTAGAAGATACTACGGTCTTTATAATAGTATCTTTTAGTAGTATTTTATAACCTTGTTAATTTCATATATCCATTTTACTTTGCATTACAAACTGGTATGTCTCCTGATAGCTAGGTATGAGACAGCTGTGCTGTATGTTCTGTACTGTGTGCTTTCATGTGTGTTATTTTCAGCGTGAGCTTCCTATTTTTTTATTTACTTAATTTTTTCTCGAGGTGTGTTTGAGTTTGTTTCTGGGTTACACTGTGGTTATTTTATAGCTATGATCAGATTTTTTTTTCCATTTTGTATTTAATGTCAACTTGTGGCATGACTTTGAAATAAAACAGGAAAAGCTATTCTGGTTTTGTCATTGTTATATGAAAAAGAGTGTGAAGATAAAGTAGGAGAAAGGTGAACTGGTTTTATTTGTCTGGAATAACTTAACCTGTTCAAGGTAAAAGGCCAATTCATGGTTTCCATGGCATGTGGATCTTCTTGGCGAAGATCTTTCGTCATCTGCCCAAGCAGCCCAAATGCACATACATTAGAACGAAAACCAACACGTACCTGACAGTGTTGAATATTTAATTGTAGTATTTTTAATGCTTTGTCACAATTTCTGTTCACCTTCTTTGATGAACACCAAAACCAAATGAATACGGCAAGAAGTAAGTGTCTTTTTAATTTGTGTTAACTTCCGCCTTAAAATGACTTGCAGTAGCACATGGTAACAGAGTAACAACTTGGAATACATGACCTGGGTCACCTCCTTGTTCACTTCCCAGCTGGTCTCTCCCGGCCACCAACAGGCTCCACCTACCAGCTAATCAGGATCAGCAGCCATGTATGAGGCACAACAAGAGAGTCTGGAGAGCCCTGCCACTGACCCAGACATCAAACTGTGACTGGACCACAAATGTTGACCCTTGCATAAGAGACTGGGACACAAGAACCAAAAGAGGTGAAGTCTGTGGGGAAACCTTTTTTTATAAAGTAGTAGAGTGCAATACTTATCCCTAAGGTTATTAAATCTTGTATCATCTCAATCAACCGTACTGTCAACTCTGGTTCACATCACGCCTTCCCAGAAAACAGGTCCAAAAAGCAGACAAGAAAGGACCAGGGGACCTTACAAAGTGTGTTGAGAGGTAAGTGGGGCAGGTGACCGGATCGAGGCTTAGCCTGCAGTCAGGCCACAGTGCTGCTGTTCTGCTGTAGCTTTAGGCCAAAGCTTCTTACTGCTCACTTCCTATACTGCACCAGTACTTAAAAGAGCCACTATGTACCCTTCACATACAGTAAAGTTAGCTGTAGTGTGTGTGTGTTTGTTGTGCAGAATCTAAATGGTTAATTTACTTCCAATTTGTATTCCATTAGATGTTATCAGTTGTCAGATAAGAGCAGTTTTAAGTGTCTGTGTGACAGGAAGCAGATAGCAATGGTGTTAAGAATTAAAATAATTCTTACTTTTAAAAAATATTATAGGGAACTACATATGTGAGTAGCAATGATATGACAACAAAATAGCTGAAACCTAAGGTCAACTAGTAAAATAAACTTTTTACAGAGCTTTCAATCACATCGCTGGAATAAATTAGTAAACACTAAGTAATATCTTTGTGAGAGAGGTTCAGTTTTGAAGGTCAGGAATGAACTTGTAGTCAAGAGCCTTAACACATGCAACAAACAGCAAAGGATATGGTACTGAACTGCTACAATCAATTTTTGTGCATAAAATGTGTTGAAGTTGCACAGTCAGTGATTTTACATAAGCAATGCTGATCACATAATGAAACTAAAAGGTATTGGTTTGGGGCTCACTGCAGCTAAGCTCATAAAAATAGGATGTAGCTTTAAACAAAGCTGTGGTTGTCTAAAGGTATTTCTCCTTTTTTTTTATTGTTTTATTTATTTGTCTATTTTTTGCAGAGACTGAACCACAGAACTTATGGAAACCATGGAAGTATGACTCTTACAATTTCTCTGTCAGTGATGAATGTTTCAAGTCCCTCTGTGCCTGCACATCTGAATCCCTGCCATGTGAGTCAGAGCTCATGCTCTTGTGCTACACATACTTGTTAGAGCAGTCTTATAAACCACACACACAGATTAGCAGCTGAGGCATTAGCAAAATCACTGTCATTAGAAGAAGCTTTATTTTTTGTTATTGTGACACATACAATGAAATTTTGTTTGGAGCTGAGGGCCCTGGGCCTCTGTGTGCATACATACCGCCATCACAGGCAACTTGGGGGTTCAGTGTCTTGCCCAAAGACACTTCAACATGTGGATTGTAGGCACTGAGATTTGACCCCTCAACCTTCCGGTTGGGAGACAGCTGCTCTACCCACTGCACCACTGTCACCCTCAAATATTTTCATTACAATATTGTGAAAATATTGTGTGCTCTGATGCTGGAACGTTGAGGCTTTGAACTCTCCTTGATGTTTTATTCTGAATTACTCTGAGTGGTTTTAGTGTCAGTCTGTTGTTTTAATGCAGTAACAGTGAAAGGTGGTGTTAGAAGGAGCAGTAACTTACATCTGTTCAGGTCACTATCACAGCTTTTTAAGCATGACATTGTGAATTTGTTACTTCACACATAGCAGACGTTAAAGCTTGTGTATGTGCGAGTACTTTCAGAAGATTTGGATATGCTTGGGATCTGACAGCTGGTTCAAGGTTAGCAGAGGACCTGGATTTGTTGAACTCCCGATGCTAACAAATCTGTTATCAAACCTTTAATCTCTGCTTGTAATGTTTTATCAGCAAATATCAAAATTGAAAGCATGCAAGTGTTGTTAGCAGCTTTTCATTTATACCTGGCATTGACCTGTCTCTTTTAAAATGACCAAAGTCACTGGTGGTAGATTGTTATGACCCTAGATTTGAGTTTATACTTTGTAAGTCAGGAATATAAAAAGAGGAATCCTGTGCTTGAGACAGTTGCCAGAATGGCACCCTGTGGTTCTGAATAAGAGACTTCTGCCTTGGCATAAACTGAGCATATTGTAGCTAGCTGCAGATTGATGAATTTGGCTGAAAAACTAATGGATGCTGTATATCTGCACCACTGCTCTAAAAGGTTAACTGCCCATATTGAAGATGAATCTGTGGATGTTTTCTTACATATGAAATTTTTCTTTAGTACAAATTCCATTGATTTGGACAAGGGCACATGCAACTAAATGTTAATCTACTTAGTCGACCACTAATGGATCATTAATACACTTAACCCCTCCCTTGTGACATTGGGTATTACTCATACAGTCTTTTTTTAGCCACACACTATATTTATGTTGCCAACTTATTTGTATCTCCTAAAAGGAATTAGAAAGGAAAAGGTCACCTCAGTTTAATAAATCACTCACTTCAGTTTTAATAATTCATTTAAATCAATTTGTTTAGCTTTATTAAAGCTCCCAACTGAACTGCATTTGCTTTGTCAGTGGACCAGTGGTGGTTTTTAAATGGCAGTCATCCTATATATTTGCTTTTCTGCATGTACTATTGTTACTTTTACAGTTTAATCCATAAAGTACACTGTGTTTACGGGTGAAAAATATGACCAGGTCTACTTTGCTTAATGTTGGTAACTGGAAACAAAAAGGCCATGGTGCTGTGCACCGTCAGTGTGAATGAGGGCCATAAAGGAAAGACTGCTCAGTGGGGGAGAAAATGATCAAGCAGTCATAACTGCAACAACTATGCCTCATACTTGAGCAATGGGATTAGCCCCAGGAATCCGAGTAATCCATTAACAGCCCCCATGTCCCTCCTGTCCAGCTGAACCACCCTGCTTCTGGTCTGAACTGAAATCGACCTGTTAGCTAACTGCTTATCTCAGACACTGAGTCATGAAAATATAGACAGAAAACTCATCCACATATAATTAACAGATCATTAGCTTCTCTCTTTATATACACTATGTTGAATTATAAGTTTCTAGTAGTATAGTTGTAAATGTTTGACTGTTTACATGAACAGTTTTTGCTTGAAACTTAATTAATTACTAAAATAGTTGGCAATTACTCTACTGTTGATTTAAAATTCAGTAATCTGACAAATCATTTCAGGTTTTGTTTTGGGGTCATTAACTGTTCTGAAAACACTCCTTAATCTTTATCACAGCAGTTATGTACTCTTAACAGTTTGAACAAATGAAAGTACACTCAGTAATCAACAGTTTAGTATGAATCGTTGTTTAGTGTCTTTAGTCTTCAGTTTATGTATAATTAATTCTGAAAGAGTAGTTTGTTCTTTTATTTTAACGACATCTGCAACTTGTCTTCTTTGCAGGGGCCACATGTGGTGAATTCTGATGTCCTGGAATCAACACAAGGCTGAAAAATGGTCATTCTGCAGCAGGTAGGTCATGTTAGGTAGAGGTGATCAGCTGCTGTTAGGCCTGTCAAGCTTTACATTCTTGCACAGTATGGATACAGCTTACAATACTAACAGTCTTTATCTACACTGTCAGCTGTCAAATAAGGGCAAGAAGCCAAAAAAGTGGCAGATTTACCAGTTAAAGTTCACTATAATATTTGAACTGATGTACTTTGATTTCTAACAGTAAGGGGGACTGGTAGTGCTCACATTGTGGGCAGTCTATGTCCTTATGGGGAGGGGGCAAAATGTAAATATTACATAACAATTTTAATTTATTTAGATCCACAGGGAGTCAGCATTTTTCCATCACACAGTTTCTAACAACTCCCTCAAGGGCTTGGAGACTCTACAACAGAGCTGAAAAAGAGTGAATACTGGACTTAGACTAATCAGGTGTCACCCAATGATTTGCTCTCTGTCCACTGAATGTGTAAATAGGCATGCTGCCCTCAAATGGTGGAAATATCAGTTCATACAGGTTTATTTATTTTTAATACTCTGTTTTCTTTACTATTGGATATGTTGCATTTTCATTGCCTGGAGGTTTCAGGTTGTATATAAGTTAGTCTTATCTCTCTTAGTAGTCAAACTCCTAACAGATATCTTGCAAAGCTATGTACAATATCTTGAAATAGCTATTAGCTGAGGCTGATGCACCTACTGTAGCATCCATAAAGTACAGTGTGGTTTGAGTGCATCTTTACATGAATGTTGACCCCATATCTGCATATTCGCCCATCACTGTTAAACTGCTAGAATATCAGTTTTCAGGTGCTTTTCTGCTCTAGTAACTGATCACATTAAAATATTTATCATATATATATATATACAGTCTTATGCAAAAGTTTAGGCACCCCTTGATAAATAACAGATTTTGGTGATTTTTTTATTTGAACAGATGTTAACACAGTTTCTCTTGGAAATGGAAAAAATGCACAATATTTTCAGCAAACAGTGATGCATAGTTACTTCTTATGCCATAAATTGAACAAAAATAAAAAATAAAAACATTATTATGGCATGGTGCAAAAGTTTGGGCACCCTAAGAGTTCCAGAGTCTCAAAGTCTCTCACAAGGTATCAGACCTTAATCAGCTCGTTAGATCTGATGCACAGCAACAGCTGTCATTGGTAAATGCCAATTTCAAAGCTGTACAAATACTTTGACTCTTCAAACCTTGTGCACACACTTGTGGACACCCAGCAACCATGGGTTCCTCTAAGCAGCTGTGTAAGACCCTGAAAATGAAAGTTATTGACGCCCACAATGCAGGAGAAGGCTACAAGAAGATAGCAAAGCGTTGTCAGCTTGCAGTTTCCACAGTAAGAAATGTAATTAAGAGATGGCAGATCAGGGGAACTGTGGAGGTCAAGATGAGATCTGGAAGACCAAGAAAACTCTCGGACAGAACTGCTCGTATGCTGGTCAGAAAGACAAATCAAAACCCCCATTTGACTGCAAAAAACCTGCAGGAAGATTTAGCAGACTCAGGAGTGGTGGTGCACCGTTCCACTGTGCAGCGATGCTTGCACAGACAAGGCCTTCATGGAAGAGTCAGCAGAAGAAAACCTTATCTGCGTCCCCATCATAAAATCCAACATCTGAAGTATGCAACAGGACATCTACAGAAGCCCGATGCGTTTTGGAAACAAGTGCTGTGGACTGATGAAGTTAAAATAGAACTCTTTGGACACAATCAGCAAAGGCATGTTTGGAGAAAAAAAGGAGCAGCATTTCATGAAAAGAACACCTTGCCAACTATTAAGCATGGGGGTGGATCTATCATGCTCTGGGGTTGTGTTGCAGCCAGTGGCACAGGAAACATTGCACGGGTGGAGGGAAGAATGGATTCCACTAAATACCAGCAAATTCTGGAAGCAAACATCACACCATCTGTAAAAAAGCTGAAGCTGAAAAGAGGATGGCTTCTACAACAGGACAATGATCCTAAACATACCTCGAAATCCACTATGGAATACCTCAAGAGACGCAGGCTGAAGGTTTTGGAATGGCCATCACAGTCCCCTGATTTAAACATCATTGAAAATTTGTGGGTAGATCTTAAAAGAGCTGTGCATGCAAGACGACCAAAGAATATTACAGAACTAGAAGCCTTTTGCAAGGAAGAATGGGAGAAGATCCCAAGTACAAGAATTGAAAGACTTTTAGCTGGCTATGAAAAGCGTTTGCAAGCTGTGATATCTGCCAGAGGAGGTGTTACTAAGTACTGATTGTGTAGGGTGCCCAAACTTTTGCACCATGCCATAATAATGTTTTTATTTTTTATTTTTGTTCAATTTATGGCATAAGAAGTAACTATGCATCACTGTTTGCAGAAAATATTGTGCATTTTTTCCATTTCCAAGAGAAACTGTGTTAACATCTGTTCAAATAAAAAATCACCAAAATCTGTTATGTATCAAGGGGTGCCTAAACTTTTGCATAAGACTGTAAACACCAAACGGCAGACAGGCAGTGGACCTTATTCACTAACATGCGCATAGAAATGTTCTTACCTTGTGCACAAAATAAGTGCAGGAGACATTACCATCATATTCATGACACCAGCCAATTTTGTTCTTTCTATTGTGTGTATGTTAGTGTAAATCAGAATCATTCTAAAATGACAGGCGCATTCCAGTGGTTTTCAAGTAGCCTGCTGCCATGCCCCCATTTCTCTATATACTTATAAACTAGAACAGTTTTTTAAATTTAATTTATTTCAATTAAAACTGTGATTAATCAGAATGACAGGGCATTAATTTCATGTTTATTTAATATGCTACATTTGGTCAATGCATTAGTAAATTAATCATTATAGCCTTAAATTATATTAATCAATTATATTAGCTATTAAAACCTTTTTAATTAATATAGTTTCAGTTAAAATGTGTTTGCATTTTTTAGCCAGCCAGGCCTTCATCATTTGTTCATACACATGGGGTGAGGCAGTATTAAATTTGTTCACAGAGTATGAACAAATTAAGGTAAGAAAATATTGATACAGAATATTGAATAAAATTGTGCATAAATTGTTTGTATACACGGTTTCAGCACAGAATTGTGTGTACACACTGTTTGTGGACGAGGCTTGGTGCTAGCAGCTAACTGGTGAACATACTCAAGCAGTTCGTAGATTAAGAATCAGATATTTTGGAGTTGGTGGAGACCAAAAACAGAGCTAAAAGAAAGTACTGTATATATTGGACCTGATGACCAGACACGTGACTCCAAATGGCAATAATGCTCTGTAACTGCTGGGTGTGTAAATAAGCAACTGCTTGCTGACAGGTTCACAAATTCAACTTAAAAGGTGAAGATATGTCAATATTGAGTCCCCAGGCAGTGAAAAAGGCCATTATTGCAGATTTAAAGCTACAGTAATGAGGGCAGCAAAATGAGAAAGGTGATGCTCATATTTTTGAATGAGAATTAGTTTGTCATTGGACTCTGAAGTTCTCCTTACAGCTGGGCTTTTAGCATCCTTCACTGTTTTCATTCTATAGTCCACAACTTTGCTGTTTTGGTTCACTCTGAGCACTGTCATCAGTGATGTTATTGGACACGACACCCTATTTTTAATAAAGAATGGAAAATGGTTTGGAAATCACAGGCACAATTGTTTGTGTTGCAGCAGTCACAGGTAAATTGCCTTTTGTTGCAATAATCACAATGATCACATTGACATGTTGAGGCCCATATGTATTTAGTCTGTTTAGCCAGTTTTTTTTTTATTACATATCAAATAAGACAAAATAAGATGGTACAGTTTTGAATCATTTAAGGTTGTAGTGATATGGTACAGGGGTGTACTGAGTTTTGTTATATACTATATGTTCAGCTGCCTCCAGCTAATGTTCACTGTGCAGCTGTAACTATGAAGAGATTGAAAAGTGCACTTATGCTCTCTAGGCTGCAGGACTTACAGTACAGCACAGCAAATGAACTTAGCTGTAAACCTTTACTGCCATGCCTTCTCTGTGCTTACTTTTGTAGTAAATGTAATTTCAAGTCTTACTACCAATTTCATTATTTCACTCGTAATGAGAGTTGTTTAAATGAAGGACATTTCCATCAGCAGTCCCCAAGCTGAATAAGATGACCAGTAAAAGTTGAACAACTGCAGTGATCCATGCTATGAATTCAAGATGGTTAACACTAATTTAGGATACCTGTGTTTCGGCCTGTTCTTTTGCATTTGAATAAATAATCTCTTTGTGCTTCCTTGTCTTCTTTCCTTTTCTCATTATCTCACTATCAGAGGCACTCTCATTTCAGCCTGGGTACATTAATCATTCTTGAGGCCTCAGCTGGTTTCTGAGATTTAATCATTCAAAGAGGAATGGAATAAATATATTGGTGTTCTAATTTGATACTGTATGTGCAGATTAGATAACGGACACCCTGTGGTGAGAATCCAGACCAACCATTCTCAGCCATCCATCTATGTACCCGATGACTGGGGCCATGGCTGGAATGGAAGCAGCTGTTTTCATCCTTCTACCTATTATAATGGCTACATACAGTAGTTAAGAGGGACAATAGAATGAGATTTTGTGAGATCTCATTCTCTATCCAATAACCAGTGTAGTCTCTGTGCATGTGATTTATGCAAAACCTGAGGGAATGTTGTCCTCCTGCAAGGGGCTCATCTGCTTCATTCTAAACAAGAGATGAAGAAGTAAAATCTCATCTCTATTGGAGGCAGTTCCTGCTCTATTGGATCGAAGAGCTCCATGGACCGGAGTGAAGACCGTGGATCCTACATGAAATGATTAAAGGTTAATACATACTGATATATTCTTGCATACACGTAGGTGGTGTGAACTCAGGGG